CCTTCCTTCCGAGGAGTGGCTGGTGGGTTTGAACCGCCAGCCGTCTGGTTAGCAGGCAAGTGTCTTAGCCACTATGCTACCAGAGCTCCCCAAAGACATAAATTATATTATCTATATATCTTGCATGTCAGTAATCATTGTGTAGCTTGTAATACAGTTATAAATGTCACTCTTCTCCACTAAGAGACTACATGTTTCTCAGTGTGGTTTGAGTATACGGTAGCTCATTTGATCATCACAGCAATTCATTGTGGCTTTGAAATCATTTCTCTTTTTTCAAACTAGAACCAAAAGCATGGCAACATTAAAGAACTTTCCTGCAGCCTAATTCTCTATAAATTCAATTGGTATCATTTTAAACAATTAACAATTAGATAAAGGTTAAAATGCTACCAACTGAATGTCTTAGACCAACACTCAACATTTCATTATTTGTAAACTGAAATAACAATATAAACACTATATATTATATACTTCATGAGTTTAAGAGTGCTTTTTGAAGATCAACCCTGTGACATAAAATTCAATTCATATATTTTAGAAAAAAGTACTCCTTAGTTTCAAGCAGCTTCCTCAGACAGAAAACCAATAGCCTAGTGTTTCATTAAGAGCAATTTGGAAGTCAGGGGCACCTGGGTCTGTGTTAACTAGGCACAGAGGCCAGGTCAAGTATAATCTCTTTAGCCTCCATTTCAGAAATTATGACTTGGGGTAATAATGGAACTTACATCTTATACAGTGGTGACATTTGTTGGAGATGATATCCTCAGGCTTAACACTGAACCTGATGCCAAAATGGTAACTTCTGGCTTCTAAGTGCTGAAAAGATGTTTGCTATCATTTTGTTATCAGTTATAGTCTTGTGGATTAGCATCCATTTGTAACATGGATATTACACACATCCCTACTGAAGGAAGGCTTGTTTATAACTTCTATAAAGTTATAAAAGGATCCTGGGATGCAGTAGTTAAGCACTTGGCTGCTAATTGAGAGTTTGGTGGTTTGAACACACCATCTGCTCTAATGGGAGAAAGATGTGGCAGTCTGCTTTCATAAAGATATACAGCCTTGGACGCCCTATGGGCAGTTCTACTCTATCCTACAGGGTTTCTTAGAATTGGAATCACATTGATGGCATTGCATTTGGTTTCCTTTTGTCAAGTTACAAATGGTAATTCCTTACCCATTCCCCTTTTATTTTCCAACCAGACCTGGATGGAAGCCTAATAGGAGTGGGGGAAAGGAGAGAAACCATGTGACTGTGAAGAACAGGGAAATCGACACATATTGCAGATCCTCCTGGACATTCAGTGCTCCTTTCTTACCTCATTTTACTTGAACATTTTGAGAATTCTTAATTCAAATTAACTGATACTTCAAATTTTGTTCTAGGGTATCTCTCCTGCAAACTTCACTGTTTTGGATAATTAAATGCTGGCTCAATTTTGTTTGCATTTAGGAAACTAATAATACATTTGTATTAGTATGTATGTGTCTGTTGTGTGTCATCAAGTTGATTCTAACTCGTAACGACCCTATATGACAGGGTAAAACTGAGCCATAGGGTTTCCTATTTGAAATATTTCTTTACAGGAATAGGACTTTTCTCCCACAGAGCTGCTGGTAGGTTCAAACCACCAGCCTTTTGGTTAGCACCCAAGTGCATAACCATTGCATCACCAAAGGAGGCTTATGTTAGTATAGAAATACAAGGAAATACTCTTTCTATTTTCAGTCTTCATTAATTGAGCTACTTATTATGTGCCTATCTGGTGGAAGGCATCATGCTGATTGAGTACTAATGTTACAGATTAACAAGACAAAAGTGACACCAGCCTTCATTAAACTTAGATGTTAATGATCAGGAAGATGTCAACAAAACAATTACACAAGTAAAGGAAGCATTCACGCATTGTGAAAGATGCCATGATGGGCAGAACCTGGGTGCTATGAAAGGGCATGGGTGACAAAGAGGCTAGATTAGATACAGTGGTGGGGGAAGGCCTTTCTGAAGAAATGATGTTTAAATAAGTCCCTGACGTGAAGTGACCCCGCATGCAATGTACTGAATCGCTATGTATTCCTTTGCCTGATCTCGCACCTTCCTCATGATCAGTTGTCAGTCTGACCATTGTAATCCATAGAGTTTTCATTTACAAAGTTTTGGGAGTAGATTACTTACTAGTGTGTCTTAGTCTGGAAATTCTGCTGAAGCCTATTCAGAATCATAGCAACACACACACCTCCACTAATTAGTGAGGTAGCATAGTGCCTAAGGCACTTGACTGCTAACCAGAAGGCTGGCAGTTCAAACCCACCAGCCACTCCTCGGAAAGAAGGTTGGGCAATCTACTTCTGTAGTGATACTGCCTCAGAAACCCTAGGAGGGGTTGCTATGAGTCGGGTCTGACTTGACGGCACATAACAACAGCAACAACAGCTGCACTTGAGGTACATAGCCTGGAAATCAAACCCAAGTCTCCCCATTGAAGGTGAGAATTTTACCACTGAACCTCAGTGCTCCCAGTGAGAGAGAATTGTTGTTGTTGTTGTTGTTATGTGCCGTCGAGTCAGACCCGACTCATAGCGACCCCTCCTTGGGTCTCCAAGGCAGTATCACTATAGAAGTAGATTATCCAACCTTCTTTCCAAGGAGAATTAGTCATGTGAAAAATGGAGCAGGCAAATATTGGTCTCTCCCCATCCAGAGCAAAGAAGAGTGAAGAAAATCAAAGACTCAAGGAAACAATTAATCCAAAGGGCTAATGGACTACATGAATCCCAGCCTCTGTGACCCTGAGACCAGAAGAACTAGATGGTGCCCAGCTACCACTGCTGACTTCTCTGAAAGAGATCACAGTAGGTGGTCCCAGACAGAATGGCAGAAAATGAGGAACAAAACTCAAAATTATAAAAAAATCCAGGCTTACTGGTCTGATGAAGACTGGTGGAACCCCTTAGGTTATGGCCTTCAGACACCCCTCAAGCAGTGAACTGAACTGGACCACCATGGCTCAACTTTCAGCCAAACAATAGACAGGCCCACAGGATGAGCTGTGGTACCAAGCGGGAATGCACTCAATCAACCCTACAAGATCAAGAGGGCAGCATTTGGCCAGGGATAGAGCTGGGAGGTGGGAGGGGATGGGAAGGAAGTGTGAAGGGAAGCAGTGACGCCAGGAGGAAGTGGGGAGAGTGCTGTTGTGAGCATTGCAATGAATGTGACAAACAATGTGTGTGAATTATTGAATGGGAAACCAATTTGCCCTGTAAATTTTCACCCAAATAACAATAAAAATAATAAAGAACTGACTGGTAAATAAAAAAAATAAAATAAAAAGCAGAAAAACCTTGAAATGCTATTTGTCTAAAAGATAGGTGGAGAAATTTTGGCCTTTATTTAATTTAATCTTATCTGGCCATGGAATAAACCCAATGTATTTTTCCTTAAGGCTATGAAAGTATAACCTTACTTTAAAGTATATTACACCATTGCCCTTAATTGCCTCAAGGTATCTGTGTTGCTCTAGAAAACAACAGTTCAGTTCCACAGATGTTGGAGAAGAATTAGCCTGTGTCAGGCATTATAGAATAATAAGTAATAGGATACTGTAAAAACCTTGTCCTGAAGGAATTTATATAGTCTAGTGAGAAAATCCCTCATCAATCATATCTATCTGTGAAATGATCACACTGTTAGATCATTTCAGTATAAGGAGGAGAACACATGCTAACGGTGTGCACGAAGAGTGTGGAACACACCAAGCAGCCCTTAATCCCACCTGGGAAGTTAGGGGCCACTTAGTACAGGATGAGACACCAGAGCAATGTTGAATCGGTTCCAGGGAAACTCCCTACACGCACCAAGTGTGAAGAAAAATGGAGTAGAGGAAGGTGTTCAGCTAAGGAACTAGCATCACAAAAGGTACTAAGGCAAGGAAGTACTCTGAAAACGGAAATTCTTCACGTGGGACTGGTATGTAATGAACAAAGGAAGGTGAAGAAATACTAGTTTTATTCCAGGGTCCATTGGATTTTTTAAAGATTTCAACAAAGGAGTGACATGATCCAATTTAGGTTTGAAAAAGATGCCTAAGTGTTTAATGTGTGTAATGAAGTAGTAGTAGTAGTAATGATTGGGTTGTGTCAGAATAAGTAGGTAGACTACAGTGGGGTGTTGCCTGGTCTAGGGAGCAGATAATAGTGACCAAGACTAGGGGTGGTCAAAGCTAAACTGGAGATTACATGAACAGGGGAGGAGCTAGGCAAAACTCCCAAGTTTGTATTTTCTTTTTCTTCTGTGTTTTAAATATTTATTGTTCTTCCATCTACATACAGTTACAATTTCTCATTGTAACCTAAGTAAATGAGATCTCATCTGAGTAAAGCAACTGCTTTATTATTTTGATATAAAGTGGGTAGGAGAATCCTTTTATTGAGTTATAGAAATTAAATTTCTTTCTTTAGAAGTTAGAATTTTCATTGCAGGTAATCACTTCTCTTGTTAAAATATTTCTACACTCCACGTTTTCATTCACTCTTTTGCTCAACAAATATTTGAATGACTCCTAAGAGTCAAAAATATTGTATCACTTATAAAAGTTGTATCCTTTCATGGTTTGTTTGGTTGTTGAAAATAACATAAAATGATTCCCCAGGAAAATGGTGCCAAGAATTTACTTTGAGAACTTCCTCATCCTAATGTTTTCAGGACTTAAACTATTTTCACTTAATTTCCTAAATTACTTCTTTCTAAAGGATCATAATGTTTATATCAAGATAATTATCTACAGAAAATGTTATGTAGCTGGCTCAATCCATATTCTGTTATTTCTTGTGTTTTTCAACAGAAAAAAGAGAAAGCCTCTGTCATGATACAGAACAATGCTTACGCTGTGGCTGTTGCCAATTACGCCCCAAATCTTTCAAAAGATCCTGTTCTCTCCACCATCTCCAAGAGTGCAACCACGCCAGAACCGAACAAGAAGCCAGAAAACAAGCCAGCTGAAGCCAAGAAAACCTTCAACAGTGTTAGCAAAATTGACAGAATGTCTAGAATAGTTTTCCCAGTCTTGTTTGGTACATTTAATTTAGTTTACTGGGCTACTTATTTAAACAGGGAACCTGTATTAGGGTTCAGTCCTTGAGCCTAAACCCAAGGTTATCTTTGGGATATATAGCAACATTAAACTCAGTGTGATTTGCTATGTACAGTCTGACTAATAACTGCTAATTTGTGAACCAACATGTATAGTATGTATATAGCAGTATAGCTTTCCAGTAGATCTCTAATGGAGTCACGTGTTTGCTAACCCATGAAAATGCCGGCAGAAAACACCTCCTGCCAAAAGCGCCGTCGCCTTTTTAAAGATTTACCTTAGGAACTGGTTTTGAGTGGATTTCAGATGTCCTGATTTATTTCCTCTCTTTAGTAGAAATGAAAACGGGGAACCTACACCACACTTTTATGGATGGTATAATATTTAGGTATTACTGAGTATGTTCTACTATTACCTAATTATTATATAAGATAAGGTTGTCATTCAATGATAGATTTTTCTGAATAGCAGGTTCTGATAGCTGCAACATCCATTTCCTTTCTCCAGTGCTTAGAATCCCGGCCAGTGTAATTGGAAGCTTGGCACACATAAGAGGAAAAACTAGAGATTATTCAGAATTAGCTTTTAATTCCTCTGTATAGTATCTATAGCCATGTACATATTACAGCATGACAAGCTCAAATAATTACACGAATCACCCCCCTGACAGGATGTTAATTATGCCTAGAATTTAATAACTCTCGGAATGTCATGGTCATTACATTTTTTAGCTTCAGAGCTTAATGGAAAGTAATAATTGAAATCTGACAAATTATTTTCATCATTGGAAACTACCTTAAATTAAGGAGAAAAAAAAATGTGTCTTATTCTATCCAGGTATGTGTGGTATTGAAATTGATGAGGTAAATTTTCCTGGTGCTGGAGACTAGAAGGAGCATCCAGTTTGGCTACTGTGGAACAACATTTATATTGGATTAGAAAATTGTGCCAAACACTCCCACTGATGAGAATTCATAGGTGTCACAGAATATAGTTGAGCACTTATCCGATTCTCTTCCTTCCTGTTTACTGCAAATTCTGCCTTAAGGCTTCCTTTCATCTGGACTCAGAAGCCACTAATTCTAAAGGAAAGGGCAGTTAATTGGCACATTTTTCTGTCTTGAAAGCAACACTTTCATTTAAGAATTATTGTAAATCTGCTTTTGTAAATTGCAACTTTAAATTTCACCGACTCAAATTTACAACAGCTTTGTATACCAGAAGAGATTTTGGTAAGAGTTGAACATTTTTAATCTGAAACTTTGAAACATTACCAACAGTTAGTGGGTTATTGAAAATGCATATAAATGCACACACACACACACAAACACACAGACAGCTAAATTAGAAACCAAACACACACACAAACAGGTAGTTAGATTAGAAGACACAATCAGACAAACAAGTAGCTAAGTTAGAAGCCACAATTTACACTTTTATATAAGTAGTAACTGTTAATGGTTAAAATACATGCTCTGCTTCCATAAAAAAAAAATCCTGTGGGGCAGTTCTGCCCTGTCCCATTGGGTTGCTGTGAGTCAGAATTGACTCAATGCCACCCAACAACAGTGACAACAAACTACATTCATTTTTATTTTAATACTTTAAAAATATTTTTGTGCCCCTAAAATATACTAACAAAATGTAACAGTTGTGAATCATGCCTCGATTCAGTGTTTTTGGCAAATCTAAAATCCTTTGGATCCACATTTACATTAGCAGTTATTAGTTGATTTTAATAATGGATATACTTTATGACGGTGTCTTTGTAGAAACATAAGTAGTCAAATAGTGGCATTTCTTGCAGTTTTGTACAGTATTGAGTATAGTACCTAAATAAGTATGTTAAAAATTAATAAAAGGAGTATCTTATGAAAAAAAGCAAAATCACAACAAAAATTGCTTTTCCTTTGCCTCATTTAATTTTGTTTTCATTTTCTTTGTTTTAGTGTGATTCTATTATGTGCTTTGCACGGTTGTATTAATACCAAGGTCACAAATGCATTTTATTAAAAGAATTTTGCCATGAAGACAGCCTTGACATTTAAAATTCCCTTACAAAAGGTAATCCACACCCTTAAAATAAAACTTGTTACATATGCCAATAAATGCATTTCTTTAATTCCCTTTGAATAGCAACTTTTTTTGTTATCTAAACAGTTTTAAAATGTGCACCTTATTCATGCAATGAAGTAGAAGATATTCTATTTTCTTATACATTTAAACATAGCATAGCTCTTCTGTGAAGTTTAGGAAAGTGTGCTATAGTCTAAGAAAGTATGTAATGCTTAAAGGCAAGCAACAGAAATGCTTTGAATGGTTTACATCTGTTAGACACTTTTAAAAATATTTCCCCTGTAAGCTCTGCATTTCTCCTTAATGTCTAACTATAAATTATACATTTATAAATATGTACATATGTAAAAATAGGTGTAAATAAGAGTTTCTGTAGGAAAACAGACGACTCATCTCTACCTTGGGCAAAGATCTGTGCCTACACTCATGGCAAAAGTTTTAATAGAATTTATGGCAGATTGGCTGGAAAAGTTACTGTCATTATTATTCTTATTTGTAGTTTCAGTTGTTAAAATCTTACTTGGGCCTGATGACATCGACAGTTGAGATGTTCCGATAATGTGGATCAGGATTTTCTGTTATTTCTCCAACATTGGTGTATTTTTTACAAACCTCTTATTCTTTTAAAGTTTGGATAAATCAAAAGCAGCTTTTGCCCTTGATAGAGAAAGGGAGGATGCTCATTGGAAAATGATTTTATAGAACCATGGTCTTTACAATTATTTCCCCTTCCATAAACTATCTAAGAGCACAAAATAAGAGTCACATGGATTTATCAAAAATCAGACCATTTTTTTTCAGGAAATACATGTTTAATTTCCTAACATTGGTCTCATTGGCCCATAAGTATCTGACCTATTTCTTGCAGTGTACATTGACATACAGAGTTACAGTCTGTACAAGATGTAGATACATAGATGTACATACATAGAAGTATATGTACTCTCATCACTGTATAGCTACTGCTCTGATTAATCTATTATTTATTCAACAAATATTTTTGACTTCCTACTACATTCATATCATACCCACGGAATTTAGTTGAATATTTAAGAGCATCTCATTCTTACAAAGACTTGAAATCAAAGATTAAATGAAATGTGCACTTGGTTTAGCACCAAGAGTTGTTTTATGAGATGTGTTATCCCTAGTGAGCTAAGATGGTGTGTTTTGCTCTTTTCTGCTGTCCATGTTCTTATTTGTTTGAATATAGAAATTAAACCATTTAATAAATTTTTTAAAACTTCAGTGATTTTTAAGATGCCAGTTGTAATATTTAACAATTTTTTCAGGGATCTGTTTCCAGTTTATCTCAGGGTTGGATAAGTGATCCCCTTTAGCCATGTTTCCAAAATTTTCTTTTCATAAATGGTTCATAATTTATTTTTTAAAAATAAGATATTAATTCACTTATAATTTCTTTGGTAACTGTTTGTACATCATACATGTGTTTATGGGGCTCTTTTTGACCCATATTCCTGAGGGAGGGAACTGACCTCTGCCATGATATTCTTATGCATCCAGGAAAGGCACCAAAGCATTAAGGACAGTGAATTATAGACATGGCTTTCTAATGGAAGAAGGGATGTAGCTCAGCTCACCTCCTGTGTTGTCATTGTTCTCCACCATCTTAAGAATTTCTCTTTCATATGCTTCATGTTTGATGCTTTCATGTCAATGACCATGAAACAAAAGTATTTATTAACTAATTTGAAATCTGGGACTGTATTAATAGGTTTATTAAGTTGTTCTTGTTATTAGCCTTTTAGCTTTCTTAAATCCACCTGCATATTTTTGAAGCAATTGCCAGATGTTTAATTTGTGTTTGTCATGTGAAAAGACTCAGAATTGCAAGGGAATCATGAGGTGGCCCATTACTACTCTGTGGTGACATTTATTTTTCTTCTGATTTGAGATCTTGTGGCCTCCTTTTTATTAATCCAAACCACAAAGAAGCATAAAACGTGAATGGAGGAGAGAGGATTCATTATTTTTAGCATCTGCATGATTAGAAACAATGAATGCTGTATTAAAACCACTCCTAACAGTGTGGACAAGAAAATTTATGATGAAACCTTCTGTCTCTATTTAGTTCACACTTAAAAAAATAAAAGTTCAATTTAATGAAGATCTATAACATCCGTAATCTCTAAGACATCAAAATGTATATTTGCATAGAAAGTTTTCCATTAAATATTTCAACATTCATGTTTTCATCATAATCAAAGGCAAATTCAGTACCTCAAAAAATCAGGAAAGATGTTTCAAAGAGAAGAACCCAAAGGAAAACTTAGAGTGTTGGTAATGAAAACAGGTGAACTATTTTCCCTTTTGTACCTTGAGAAAGAGGGAAAATTATAAATGCATATGTAACTACAAAACTATTAACAGTCCTGAATCTATGAAGATAAGCATTATGGTTAAAATTCTAAAATAGGTAAAATTTATGTAAAGGTGTTTGGGGAAATTATAACAAGTTATTCAAAATCTATTTCTTATAGCAATCATGCATCAATTATATCTTCTTTTAAATCCTTATTCATCAATATATTTAGACCACTGTGTTGTCCATATTTCTTAGTTAAAATATTCTATTTTTTATCTGTTTATACCAAGGATATTTTCTTATATAAACCATTATATACCCCAATTCAAACCACATTCTGTGTCTGTATTGTAGTTAATATTTAACATCAGCTGATGTCCCCAGTATGGATGAACAATTAACAAGTTTTTGTTCCAGTGTATAATTATTTTTCTCAAGTAGTCTTTAATAATGTTTTAGTTTTGATTAGAGGTGCCTCTCTAAATACAATTTCTAAGAGTGAAATTCTAATTCCCAAGTATGAATGAGCATTTTATGAATACAGATAAATAAATGAAATCTGAATACTTTATTTTATTAATGGATCTCATGAAAAAAATTGGCACTTATTAAACCAGCCATTAAATTAGTCAAGATAGTGTTTTTTAAAATAAGTACACAACAAACTTCTTAGAATTTACTCTTGAGCTCCTAATATATGATTAGAAATACCTTTCCTATATAGTGTAAATATTTTGCCAACTTATTTCTAATTGGTTCTTTTGAAACACAAAATTTAAAATGATTTCTTAATTATGATTCTAAGGTAGGAGTTCTGGTGGTGCAGTGGTTAAGAATTTTGCTGCAAATTCAAAGGCCGATGGATCAAACCCACCAGCTGTTCCACAGGAGAAGGATGTAGATGTGGCAGTCTACTTCAGTAAAGATTACAGCCTTGGAAATGCTATGGGGCAGTTCTACTCTGTACTATAGGGTTGCTATGAGTTGGAATTGACTCATCAGCAATGAATGGGTTTAATGGTTAAGTCTAGGATAGACAATCTTTGAATTCCAACTTTTCTATATGGAGGTTTTTGAAAGCTCTTTAGAAATTAAATATCTGGCTCATTTACAAATACTGTCATCTACATCCATTACTGATCAGTTTTGTATCTTGCTTTTTGAGTTGAAATGGCTCTGGATCTTTCTCTGGAGAGCTTATAAGTTCTGGGAGTCTAGAATTTCTAGAGTACACCAATAACATCAGTCTAACATATTTTAGGCAGAGTAAAAAACAAAACAAGAATTTTGTTTGTTTGCTCGTTTCTGTTTTAGTTCAAAATTATATTCATCTCTTTTTGACAACATTCATCCAATCAGAAAGCTGCTCTCTTGTTTCCAACAAGACAAAATCCCGTA